TCAACCTGAAAGGGACTACCCGCGATTCCATACGGTGCCTGGCTCGGATGCGCACTGCCAGTCCCGGCATAGGGAGGTGCGCCAAGGCTGCCGCCTTGCTCCTCCAGCGCCGTCACCTCCGCGTCCACCCCCAGCTCACGCTGCATCCCGCAACGCTGAAGACGGTCGTTCCACGCCGCCCCGTGCTGCATGCAGCACCTGCCGAGGCTGCCCGCCGAGATCTCGACGCCCAGCGCGGGCGGAGGTGGCAACGTGCTGCGGAGGTTGCCCCACCTCGCGGCCGCTCTCTCCTCTGCGCTGACGCCCCTGGGGTCGTTCTGTGGTGTCTCGAGGATGCCGACGGCAGCGCCTCGGGGCCACCACCTTCCCTCAACCCACTGCGGTTGGTCATCCGCCTGTGGTTTTTCGAGGATGCCATCGGCAGCGCCTCGGGGCCACCACCTTCCCTCAACCCACTGCGGTTGGTCATCCGCCTGTGGTTTTTCGAGGATGCCATCGGCAGCGCCTCGGGGCCACCACCTTCCCTCGCCATCTGGCCTCCAGCCTGCCGCGGCGCCGCCCTCCTGCGGCCGACCTCCTTGGGCCTCAGCGGCGCCCAGCGCGGTCGTCTCCTCAGCGTGGTCAGCGCGCGCCGCAGCCTCATGTGTTTTTTTTTTGTTGCCGAGGATGCCAGCGGCGACGCCTCGGGGCCACCGCCTTCCCTCCGCGCACGACCACGCGCTGTCCTCTTCCGTCTCGCGTGGTTTTTCGAGGATGCCTCCAGCAGCGCCTCGGGGCCACCACCTTCCCTCCACGCCTGGCCTCCTGTCGGCCTCCTCGCCACCTTCTCGCGGCCCTTCCTGCTGGCCCTCTGTGGCGCTCAGCGTGGGTGCCTCCTCTGCTGCGCGCCCCGCGCGCGCCTCCCCCTCCTCTCTCTCTCTCTCTCTCTCTCTCTCTCTCTCTCCTTCTCTCTCTCTCTCTCTCTCTCCTCTCTCTCTCTCTTTTTTTTTTCTCTCTCTCTTACTCTCTCTCTCTCTCTCTCTCTCTCTTCTCTCTCTCTCTCGTTCTCTCTTGTTTGTTTGTTTTTACGGGTTTTCCTCACCCCCACCCCCCCCCCCAGGATGCCTCGACAGCGCCTCGGGGCCACCACCTTCCTTCGGGGCACCGCGGCCCGCTGCCCCCCCCCCCCCCCCCAACGTGGTTTTTCGAGGATGCTCAGAGCAGCGCCTCGGGGCCACCACCTTCCCTTCTCTCTGGGCCTCTCACCAGCTGCCGCCTCGCCCTCCTTCGGGCTCTCGCCCTCTGCGGCTGCTAGCGCTGGCTCCAGCAGCTCCCTCGCTCTCCTCCTCGCCCGCAGCCAGCTGCTGCGGTGGTCCTTCGCGCAGCAGCCGTGCGGCCTGACCTCAGGAAAGGCCCGCGGCCCCTGCACCGCCCTCATGGCACCCCACGCACTGCCTGGCGACCTCCACGACAACAGGCGCATGCGGGTACACTGGCGAACCAACGACCACCTGAGCACCCCTCGCGAGCAAGCCCCGCGACACCAGGAAGTAATCGATGACCCTTCCCGACGCCATGCAGGTGGACACAGCAGGCCTGGCCGCGGACCCGTCGAACATGGCCAGCGCCCCGCCCGCCTGGAGCTCCTCCTCGCTGAGGTTCCAATCCCCTCCGATGACGTACTCTCTGCGGCTCTGTCGCAGCCTCCCCGCCAGCTTCCTGAGGCTCGGCATGTTGCCGATATTGAGGCCCGCCCCAGCCTCAAGGTACACGTTGGCAAGCAGGAAGCCCCCGTCGCACACGCCCGACACCCAGTGCACGTGCACCCTGCCCTCAACGACCACCGCGCCCTGGAGATCCTGGACCCCCGCCATTCCATGGCACCTCCTCACCATGGTGATGAGCCCTCCTGTGCCGAGCCCGCCTGACTCAGATCTCACAGCTGGCGAGCTCCTCGCCCGCCATCCTTGACTGCGGAGCTGAGCCTCCGCATCCACGCACCTGCCCTCCTGCAACCTGGTCTCTTGCACCAGGATGGCGTCGCAGTGCTGCACGTCCTTCACCATCAAGAATTTGCCCAGGCTGCTGAACGCATTGACATTGATGGTGCAGATGCGCCAGACGCCCAGCCCCTTGCTAGGATCCTGTGCCCAACTCGTCGTCGCCCGTGCGCATCTTCTTGGCCTCGTTGATGAGGGTCTCCGCCGCCTTCCTTTTCTCGGGGTCCTCGAACTGCTCCTCCAGATCCTGCCACACCTGCTGCGCCTCAGGGGAAGCCCGTGGGCGCTGAGACATGGCGCCAGCAGGCTGCCTTGCCGCTGCCCCAGCCTCAGCGGCAGCACCATCCCCAGCCGCCCCAGGCAGCGGCAACGCTGCGCCAGGCACCCCAGGCCCACCCCCTGCGATCTTGCTCTTCCACTCGAACAGCCGACCGACCGCCTCTGACAGCTTGACGAACTCGTCGCAGAGCACTGGGCTCGCCGCGACGCCGCTGGACTTGGCCCAGCCCTCGAGCGCCGCCTTGGCCACGTGCAGCGACACAGGGGCCGCGGCCGCAGCAGCAGCCCCTTCAGCAGCTCCTTCAGCCTCCGCCAACCTGGCACCTTGGGTGGCCAGCGCTTCGCGCGCCCTGGCGGCTGCCTCAGCCTGCTCCCGCCGCAGCTGCACCAGCTTCTCGGCGAGGACCACCGACTCGTTGATGGCCGCCCGCGCCTTCGCCTTGGACTGCTCCAGCATGTGCTCCGCCCGCTTGACCTTCTGCGCCTTCTCATCAGCCTGGAGCTGGGCCGCCTTGACGGCCTTGTCCTTGGACAGGTCGTCGCCCAACCCCTCCTGCACCAAGCGCCTGGCCTGCTGCAGCTCGTTCCTGACCTTCGCACCGAGGAACTTGGCCGCGATGGCGAACTGCCCGTCCGACATGCTGAAAAGGTCGCGCCGCTCGTCGTCGCTGAGCACCACACCCGCAGCACGCTGACCACCATCTCCGCCTCCGCCGTCGTCGCCCCGCCACCATGGCGCACGGGTCGGCGGCGCGCCTGTTGCGGCACGCCCACCACGCCCACCGCAACCAGCGCCAGGACCACCGCCACGACCCGCAGCAGCTTGCTGAAAGAAGCTGCCCAGCACCCTCTGCGACGGCTTGCCACTCTGGCACCCGTGGCGACAGCACCAGCGCTCGGCGAAGTTGTAGTAGTCGCAGCTCTGGCAGACCCATCCCACGGGCCTGTCCTGGCGACCTCCTCCACGCCCCTGTCCCGCACCGCCGCGCCCCATCGCGCGCGCGAGACTGGAGGAGTGGCGCCCGACTGCCAGAGCACAAGGGCTCTTGCCTGCCGCGGACTAGCGGTATCCGTGCGATCCCCGCGGGAAACTCGCATCTTGAGCCAAAATGGCTACGGAGAAGGAAGAAAAAGAGGAGGAGGAGGAGGAGCACGAGGAGGAGAAGCAGGAGGAGGAGGAGGAGGAGGTGGCGGAGGAGGAGGAGGAGGCGGAGGAAAGGGAGGAGGAGGAGGAGGAGGAGGAAGAGGAGGAGGAGGAGGAGGAGGAGGAGGCCAGACGCTGCAATTTATGTGGAGTGAAGTCCGCTGTCTACAGAGGAGATGGAGGCCGAGGAGGAGGAGGAGGAGGAGGAGGAGAAGGAGGAAGAGGTGGAGGAGCAGAGGAGCTCCTGAGCATGGCCGCGCTGAACCCATCGTCGGTGCCGGCGTCGTGTAGCGCCGAGGCGAGCGTGATCCAGGGGCTCGGGTCCTCCTGCGCGGGGCTGCGTGAGGGGAAGGGGGTTCGCGGTTTGCGCGCGTTCGTGACAGTTTAGTGGGACTGAGGCCAGCGTTCCAAAACGACATCGACGATGCCGTCGTTGTCGTCGTCGTCGTCGCCGCCGCCGCCGTCGCCGCCGCCGCCGCCGTCGTCGTCGCCGTCGTCGCCGTCGTCGTCGTCGCCGTCGTCTTGAAGTGTTTGGGCGCTTCTGGACGCCCTCGTCGCCACAGCTGGGGGCAGTCTGAAGTTCTTGGGCGTTCCTGTGCGCTTCCCTGGACGTGAGACACCACGCCGCGGCAGGGGCACGACCGGGCCATGGGCCACGGGCCACCTCGACCACGGCGAGGTACGCACTGCCGAGAGCACACACAGAGGAGGAGGAGGAGGAGGAGGAGGAAGAGGAGGAGGAGGAGGAGGAGGAAGAAGAAGAGGATGAGAGGAAGAGGAGGAGGAAGAGGAGAAAGAGGAGGAGGATGAGGACCATGGGCGGGACCGGGACCGGTCTTGATCGGACTCTGGTTGGGGGGCAGGGCGAGCTCGCGAGGGACAGCAGGCCCCGGCCCAGGCATTGCAAATTGCACACCGACGCGCGGCCTGATCTGCAGATGCTGTCGCTGTCGCCAGGTTCGTTGGCCCAGCCAAGGTCTCTTCTTTTGCTCCTGGGCCCCCCTTGGCCCTCGGCGAGGCAATACTACCGAAGGGGAAGGATCAAGGAGGAGGGGAGGAGGGAGGGGGAGACTGAGGAAGGAGATGAAGTGTGGAGGGGGGGGAGCGATCGATTGCAGCCCGCGGAGTCGGAGGAAAGCCAGACGCCAGACGTCAGTCAAATTCATGCTCCGTGCCACGAAACTGGCATGTCAACCTTCACGCGGATCTGCGGCTGCTGGGCAAGATGTTCTAAAGAAGACTCGACGGAGCGGCTCGTTCGTCATTTTCTATGACCGGTGGGTCGTCTAGCATGGGTAGCACAGCTCCCAAATGGCCACGCATGCATTGAAATGCCTTTGCAGTGCAAAGGGGGGCAATGACTCCACAAGATCAGCTTCCAAACCCGCTCTCTTATGCCCGACCCGCTCAGAAACCTAGCCCATACTTGCCCGTGATTACAAATTGTCGCGATGTCTTGCAATAGGTGAAGGTGAGGCCGCCGGACACACTCAAACTCCCAGAAGTGTAGCCCCAACCGGTGCTCTTCCCGAGTTGCACATCGGCGGTGAATTTGAGCTGTGCCGCGCTATCTGTCAGCAGCTTTTTGCCCTTGGCGCTCAGCATGATGTGATTATTGGTTTGTATTCGTTTATCCACAGGCGTGGTGCCTCTTCGGGAACCATCGGGACCTCAAGCTTCAACTGCTTCTGACAGCGTCCTAATTTAAGGTTCTTCGAAAATGCCATCTGAGCCTGGAGCTGCTTCTCGATCGAAGGCCGCAAAGTAGCAACCCGAGCGCGAGTCTCCCCTGCATGTGCTTTGGAAACCATCGCCATCCGGGTCACCACATTTGCGGGAGTGGCGGTGACCCTCTCGCCCTTGAGTATCTCGAGCACCTTGACAGCGGATGGTGCCGCCGCGAGACTGGCCGCTTCGAGGCTGCTGGCCGACTGCGCCATTTTGACCTTCTTCTCGTCCTCTTCGCGCTGGCGCTTAGCTTCCTCTAAAAACGGCATAGGCATAAACTTTTGAACCTCCGTGCGGATTTCTTGGATCCGCGTTGGACCCCCGTCCCTGGCGCGCGGAGCGCATCACGGGCAGCGCCAGAGGCGCCGCCAGGGGGGCCAGCACAGATCCGAGAAATCCTCGCGGAGCTCCAAAAGCTCAGGTCTATGCCCTTCTTATTATTCGACTCCTCCTCACGCTTGCGCTTAACGCTCGCGCGCTGCTTGCACCCTGTCGACGCCCGCGCCTCTCCAAGCCCCTGTAAACGGGGCATTCGTAAACGGGCCGCCGGTAGTTGAGGGTGTGTGTTTCCAGTGGTGCTGTCAAAAACTGAATTGCCGCGCATAAGTGAGAGGTAAACCCCCCTACCCAGAGCTCTCTTGTGGTCAGTTTCACGCACTAGTGCGATGTCAATGCCGTGTCGCCCCGTTCTCGCTTGAAGAGGCCCCTTACCTGCCGTTAGGTCGGGCGTGCCCCCTACAGGCGGATTTTGGACGAAAAATAAAAAATACCCAAAACAATTCAAATACTATTCAAAAGTGATAGAAAGACATTCCTCCCTGACTATTACTTTTGAATGCTGTATTCCCCCTGTCGAGGGACAGGCCCGACTTAAACCTACCGCCCGTTTACTAACGCCCCGCTTGCATGGGCTTGGCCTCTGCCCTCTGGCCGCCACTGCCAAAGCCTCCGTGCGCACCGGCGTGCCCGCGTCTGCCGACGCTGCAGGAGAGGCCGCACCACGGGCACCTCGGGGCTTCCTAAAACGGGGGTTTAGCTAAACGGGGGCTTAGGCGTTTTCATACTCCCCCGTTTACTGTGCCCCCGTCTGCGGCGCCCAAGGTCCCCTAAACGGGGGCATAGCCAAAGCGTGGAAATCGGCGTTCCCCGTGCCCCCGTTTGCTGTGCCCACGTCGTTGGCGCCCTGAGCACCCTCGCTCATTGCGGCACCGCGGCCGCGGCTCCGAGGGTCGTATGGGCTTCGGGACCTTGGGCAGACATGGGTAACATAATGCTGCCTGTTGGAGGCTTGGAAACAAGCACCAAGACCAAGACAGGGGGGTGCGTCCACGGGTGGAGGATCCTCACAATTTTTTTGGTGTTGGTGGTGATGCTTCGGCCACCTGGGAAGCCCGAGTATTACCACCATCGCCGAGATCGCGATCATCTTGCCTCGGTGGAGGCACACCGCCGAAATCGGCGTTGGTGCCAGCCTCTAGGCCTGCGAGCCTGGGCCCACGCGCCTGCTGATTCTTGGCAAGGGCTCGGAACTCTGAGGCCCGCTCTGCAGCAGAAGCTTCTTTCCGCTCCAAAAGTCTCGAGGAAGTGCGGCTCCCAGCGTGCCGGCGCGCCTGTTTCGCTGCTCCGCACACCCCTCTGCCAGTGAGCCACAAGAGCTGACAGTGGAGCCGCAGGAACGGCCCGGCGCGCTCGTCGGGTGTTCGACCACGGGGCAGAAAGAAACGGGGGGGGCTGAAGAAACGTGTGCCTTTCCAGCACCTCTGGGGCCCGCGGTTGCAATCTAGGGGCGTTCAGTGCCCCTTTAGAGTATGGGAGCCCCTCCCGTTCATTGCCCCCCCCCGGCCACCGAGCGCCCAAACTCCGCCGTCGCAGCGAGGGTGTAGCAAGAAGCTGGCCACCGCTCGGACGTCCATTTCCTGTGTTTTTTTCGGTTTCGTGCGTGGTTTCTTCGCCAAATGATCGAGGATGCTCCTCGATGGTCCTCGCCGGAGGAAAAATGCACACGTCCGAGCGATGCCAAGGAAGCTCGCCATGGTTGGTTGCTTCGGCAGGCGGGTCTGGCCCCTGGACGCTCCAGGGCGTCCCCCAGACATCCCGCTGAGACCTCGGGACGGCTTCCAGACGAATCCTCCTCCTCCTCCTCCTCCTCCTCCTGCCCCTGCCCCTCCTCCTCCTCCTCCTCCTCCTCCTCCTCCTCCTCGTCCTGCTCGTCGTCCTCCTCCTCCTCCTCCTCCTCCTCCTCCTCCCTCCCCTCCTCCTCCTACTTTCTCCTCCTCCTCCTCCTCCTCCTCCCTCCTCCTCCCTCCTCCTCCCTCCTCCTCCCTCCTCCTCCCTCAGGACGGCTTCCAGACGAACCGTCACGGCCTGAGATGGATGGCCCATCATAGCTTCGGAATTGCCGCCAGCCTCCAGGCACCCCTGGCGGCGCCTCCGCACCTCAGGCGGCCTCTGAAGGACCGCTTCGGCCTGAGATCCTGAGATGGAAGGTCCAATATCGCTCCGCATTTCCCACAAAGTGGCTGCTCGAAAGGCCACATCAGACGGAACACAGCAGTAAGCGAGAGACGCTCCTCCTCCTCCTCCTCCTCCTCCTGCACAACTCATACTTGTCCTCGTGATCGCCCTCTTCCTCCTTCTCCTCCTCCTCCTCCTCCTCATCATCATCATCATCATCATCATCATCACCATCATTATCATCAGCATCGACATCATCATCAGTACCAGCATCATCATCAGCATCTCCATCATCATCGCCACCAGCATCGGTATCATCGTCACCACCATCATCATCATCATCATCATCAGCATCATCATCGTCGGAGTCATCAGCGTCGTCATCATCATACTTACCAGCATCACCAGCAGCATGATCGCCATCCTCATCATCATCAGGATAATGATCATCATCACCATCAACATCAGCTTAATCGTCATCGTGAGCATCGTCATCGTCACCATCACCATCACCATCATCATACCATCACCATTACCATCGTCGTCATCGTCATAGTCTTCATCGTCATCATCATCATCATCACCATTGCAATCATCAGCAGCATTGAAGCACTAATCATCACTGCCACCATCATGATCATCGTGATCATCAGCAGCATCAGCACCATCAACAACACCATCAGTATCAGTACCAGCATCACCATCATCATCATCAGTATCAGTATCAGTATCATCATCATCATCATCATCATCACCATCATCATCATCATCATCATCATCATCGTGAACGTCATCGTCAGCATCATCATCGTCAGCACAATCGTCACCGTCACCGTCATCGTCATCGTCATCACCATTATCATCACCACAATCGGCATCATCACCACCACCATCACCATCACCATCATCACCATCACCATCACCATCATCATCGCCATCACGGACATCATCATCACTATCAGCATCACATTCATCACCACCACCGTCATCATCAACATCAGCAATAGCATCATCCCCATCATCACGACCATCATCATCATCATCATCATCCCCATCATCATCACCATCATCACCATCTTCATCATCGTCAGCATCACCATCATACCATCATCACCATCTTCTCCGCCCTCGTCCCTGATCACTTCGTCCTCCTCCTTGACACGTCTCCCTTCCTTCCAATCCCCTCCCCCTGTCCTCTCTCCTCCACCTCCCACTCCCCCTCCCCCTCCTCCTCCTCCTCCTCCTCCTCCTCCTCCTCCTCCTCCTCCCCCAATACCTCGGCAACATTTCGGATGCTTGCAGGCAGAGGTGCAACGGGCCATTGCGTCTTTCGCCTTGCTGCTTATGGCGTTAGCCGCGCCCGTAGCACTGAATTTGGGACCAAGCACGGAGATTGCGCATTCGGTTGAGAGGTGGGACCATGTGGTCCGTAAATCCCATAGGGCCTTGTGTCCAGTCACCCTGGGGAAGAAACCCAGTTGCGCATGCTAGTCGATTCGGCAGGATTGACCGTGGATTGGGGCCCAGCACCCTACGCACCACGCCATCTCGTCTAGGCGGCGAGTCATCGGCGACGAGGTCACCTCACTGTTCCTTAACAAGCTTTTTAATTTGGTGTATGCCGCGTGTGGCTTTCACATGCTCCGCATGCTCCACCTCGTGAGCCCGAGACTCCTCCTCGTTCATCCTCTTGTCCTTCTCCTGCTACTCCTCCTCCCCCTCCCCCGCCCCCTCTTCCCTCCCCCTCCGCGCCCCCCCCACCCCTCCCTCTCTTCCTCTCCCCACTCCCCCTCCTCCTCCGCCCCCTCCCCCTCCCAGCCCCTCCTTCCCCCTCCCAGCCACTCCTGTCCTCACCCTCCTAGCGGGATGAGGAGATGGAGGAGAAAGATGACGACGACGAATGTTGAACAATGTCTTCTCGCCGTCACAACGACGACGACACAAGACCGAGACCTCGACTACACTGGCTCTTGCGCGAGGGCTCCGCGTTGGGCAGCTGCAGCAGGGTCAGTTTGGGGCCATCAGGGGGAGAAGAGGGATGGGGGGGGGGAGGGAGGGGGGGACGGTGCCAGAGAATGAACAGACGAACGACCAGCGAACTAGCAACAAAACGGACAGGGCTCCGAGCGCCAGAAGACAGCCGTGCAATAGAAAGAGCAGACGAACGTCGGGTGAACGGACGACCGAGCGAGCGACGAAGGATGAAACCAAACGTAGAGGCGTCCTAGATCGGGTCCGAGTAGATGGGGACGGAGGATCGCGCCGCATCGGCGATGCATCGGCGGTGTATCGGCTACTCTAGCGCGGAGACAATCGGGCTCCACATCGAGCCGCATCGTCAATGCGTCGGCGATGCGGCGCCAACCTCCGGCCCCTTCTGCTCGGACCCCATCTGGGAGGCCTAGACTAAAAGCCCCGGGCTCCCAAATTTGGACGCCCAAAATGGGTACGGAAAAAAGGGGTCAACTGCCCAACAACAAATTTTGCCCTAAACCAACAGCGGCCGATGTTGGGCATGCGGCCTTCTGCCTCGAATGGACACAGGCCGCGGCGGCGCGGACAGCGAGTCCTGTTCAACATGGAAAAGAACTGCTGTTGGGCATTGTACACATTCTTTCCGTACCAATTTCCTGAGCATTTCCTTCGGGGGGAGGGCTCAGGGTGAAATCCATGTGGGCTTTTGCACCTCGAAAACCCATCCGTCTCGAGGTTCACCCTCTGCAGATCCAGGCCTAGCAGATCCATCGAAACGGCATTC